AATTATTATTGAATAAGTATTGAGATATGCTATAAATATATTCATATAAATAGCATACTAGTTCTGAAAAATATGGACCACAAACGTTGGAATAGTGGTGCTTCCAAAAGGAAAGCCAAAAAAGAAAGGGAGGCAAGAGAGGCAGTGTTTCTTTCAAGTGTTCCACTCATGACTTACAGCTTTCGTGACTGCAGGAATTCATATTCTTTATGTTTAAGTCTTTCGGTAAAGTCACGTAGATAGTTCAAAAGAAAATAACAAAAAACTACGACATTTCGATCGCAACACAAGCCGTCGTCATAAAGAACGTCGTAGTTTAAAAAAAAATATTTTTTGCTATTTTCTTTGGACCTATCTCCGTGACTTTACCGAAAGCCCCAAAGAATATGTTCCACTCAATGGCAACGTCTTTCAAAAACCCTCTAATAGTAATAATGATGACAGCAGCACTATTGTCAGCTGTGAGGAAGGAACCAGCACTAGTTCAGTTTCCAGTCATGTTGTCACTCCCCCAGAGCCATCCTTTGAAGGTGAATCCTCAACAGCTAATGGTACACAAGAACCGTCATTTCCCCCTCAGGAGCAGTTGGGTAGTTCACAAAAATCAAATCAGCAACCAAGCAATTCCTGGTGCTATGAGGTCACTGACCCACCATTATGGCAAAGCACGTTCAGTGACATTGCTGAGTCGGTGCTTATTGAAAGAGGAGCAGTCCCCTTCCAAAACCGCAGTGAAAAATACCCAGCTTCAGTCCGAGGTAGATCGCTTGATGGAAAGACTAGAGGTTTCAACAATGAACTTCTGAACTGTATATTGCCAAAGGGGCAGAATGTTTCTATACAGTGGCTACTGTACTCACCCTCAACAGGTTGTGTGTGCACTGCTTTGCATGCAAACTGTTCTCCAGCGAGCTCGGTGGCTTTAGTTAGAGGTTTAGTGACTGGAAGCACTCTGAAAGAATAGGGGAGCACGAAAAGAGCGCAAAACACAGGTCACACATGCATGCCCTGCACCAGCGGACAAAGGACAATGCTATAGATGCATATCTGCATAGAAAAATGTTGATACTCCGACTGATGCTCCTACTGTTGTGGAGTGACTCATGCAGCCAGCTATGGCTGCAGAGTTTGGTGGTACATGTTGTTTACGTCGTTTATTGTGAAAATTCGGTGACAGTTCCTATGACCACTGTTTCATTGCTTTTATGGCTTTATTTTGGTGATTTTCGAAAAGTTTTTTGGTTTGGCCATGTTTGTTTGTTGTAGTGCAGAGTTAGACTGATGGCCTTAATCTAAGTTGTCTTGTGGTTGTTGTTGTTTGACTTGCATCCCACTGGGATTTTTGCACAGGGTTGGTGTACGGTGATTTTTCTGCAATATTTTGCTGCCTTTTCTTGGATTTTCTGTTTGCACATAGTCACTTTAAGATGATTTTTTGTTCATGTTTTTTTGTTTGTTGCGGTTGCACCCGATTCAAGAGCCGAATGGCTCACAGGGCTATACCTAATAAATGAACTTTGAAATATCGCATGCAGCAACTTGATGGGGAACGTAAATGCTGGAGGGACATTTCGAAAAGACTTGTAGCAGTGATAAAGTTCTTGGGTGAAAGAGGACTTGCGTTTAGGGGAGATGATGAACGGTTTGGGTCAACCAATAACGGTAATTTTCATGGCATCCTAGAATTGCTATAACAATTTGAGCCATTCTTAGCTGAACATACTAAAACGTTTGGCGGAAAAGGAAGAGGCACAGTGTTCTATTTGTTATCAACAATACGTGAGGAACTCATTGAACTAATAGGTCAGAAAACTCACCAAACAATAGCAGATGGGATTCGGGATGCCAAATTTCGGGACTGCAGTGATTCATATTCTTGGTTATTTTGGTAAAGTCACGTAGAAGGGAAATAATATTAATAATAAAATAATAAAACAATTAAATTCTCACGACGTTTCGACTGCGACACAAGCAATCATCATCAGGTGTGAAACCCACAGCAAGTAAATGTGATTGCTTGTGTTGCAATCGAAACGTCGTGAGAATGTTATTGTTTTTTTCCCTTCTACATGACTTTACCGAAAGAACCAAGAATATTTTTCAATAATTGTTGACGCCACCCCAGACCTGTCACATGTGGACCAATTTACGTTCATATTCCGGTTTGTAACAGCAGCGAGAATGTCGTGGAGCTATTCCTGGACTTTGAGCCAACTGAGAGCCACACTGGTAAAAGTTTAGCAGACTACGTATATAACCTCTTGTTGCAGCAGCTCTTTCTCCAGCCTCAGCAGTTCTCCGGCTGTGTTTGTCTCACCTGATGACGATTGCTTGTGTTGCGATCGAAACGTCGTGATCTATAACACTGGTCAACACACTTTTTCTGGCATAAGGTATTCCAGCGGGTTTAAGGTAATTTTGGGGTGCTGATTCCAAATCTGGCATCAGTTTTTGTCTATCACATCAGGTTTTTGAGAGATCAAATATTGCATTTTCAATAAAACTGCGGAAGAAAAATATTAAGTAAATGTGGATATCTACATAAATGATATTATAAACACACTATCCTAAAAATACAGCACCATATTATAACACTAAAGCAGTCACTGACTCGCAACAACTTGTGACAGGGTTAATTTCGGGTAAAATCAATGAAAATGGGGTATGCCGATAGCATAAAAATGAGATGTGATAGAGCAAATCTGAGATCAGATTTGGAATCAGCACCCTGAAATTTGTCTAAAACAGCTGCAAAAGTCCAGGCCAAAATTATTTTTTGTTGACCAGTGTTATTTTTCTACCTACATGACTTTACCGAAATAGCCAAAGAGTTTGGATTCCTCCAGTCACGAAAGCTTGTAATCAAGATTTAGCAGATTGTGTGACTTTGATGGTGGAAGGCCTTGGGTTGGACCTCTCAAACTGTAAAGGTCAGTCATATGACAATGCAAGCAACGTGTCAGGAGAATACAATGGCCTGCAGGCCCACCTGAAACCGAAAAAAACCCTCTGATAGAGTATGTGCCTTGCGCAGCACATTCACTTAACTTAGTTGGTGTTAACACCTTAGACGGCAGTAGCCCAGAGGCTGACGAGTTTTTAAACATGTTGCAGTCACTGTGCACATGTTGTTCTTCATCCACACACAGATGGGGGAAAGTCTTTCGGAAGACAGACGTCAAACTGACATTAAAATCGCTGTCCAGTACTCAGTGCTTAGGGCAGAGTCAACCAAGGCACTGTGGAGAAATTACACCCACATTAGAGAGGCCTTCGGTGGTATGTGCAATGATGGTAATGAGAAAAAAGATACTCGAATTGAGGCCGCTGGACTACGTGCTAAATTGGACACCTTAGAGGTGGTGTTCATGGCACATTTCTGGGACGTCAAACTTGACCGGTTCCAGACAAGTGACATTGACATCTCTGGAGCAGCACAGCTTTTGTCTTCGTTGAAAGATTTTGGAGTGGGACAGCGAGACCACTTTGAGGCTTTTGAAAGGGCAGCATTAAATGTGACAGGTGTCTCTCCGTCATATAAGCACGATTTTCAGCGGAAGAGGAAACGCTAAACATTTGCAGATAAGAGCTCAAAGCCAGGTGTGACACCTGAGGGGAGGAAGAAGTTGAAAATACAGACATTTTATGTGGTCATTGATAAGCTAGTGGCATGCCTTGAACATCGCTTGGACGCTTACAAGCGTTTGACAAGTCCCTTTGCAGTTCTGTTCATGTCAGATCAGGTGTCTAACAGTGATGTCATAGTGGTAAAGGTAAATGCACTCTCCGCTGTATATCCATCAGACCTGGACATGAACTTTGCCAACGAACTAATCCAATTCTCAAGTCTTCCATGTCTGACTCTGAGTGTGAGAAGTGCCCAACTAAATTTCTTGAGATGTTGCAGGCACTTCATCTGCAGTCCGTGTTCCCCAATGTGTTCGTGGCACTTCGGATTTGTCTAACTTTGCCAGTGACAAACTGCCAGGGTGAGCGGACATTTTCCCTTTTAGGCAGAATAAAAAATTATGAGCTGTGGAGTAGCGTGTTGCCAAACACGTCTCAGCTGACTGTCACTTACGTCAATAGAGTCAGACCTTGTCAGACAGCTAGATTATGATAATATACTGATGTAGATTATTTATCGAGGAGGAAGGCAAGAAAGACACCACTATAGTTTTTTTTTATTATTTTCTTTGGACTTATCTCCGTGACTTTACCGAAAGACCCAAAGAATATGTTCCACTCAATGGCAACTTCTTTAAAAAAACCCTCTGATAGTAATAATGATGACAGCAGCACTATTGTCAGCTGTCAGGAAGGTACTAGCACTAGTTCAGTTTCCAGTAATGTTGTCACTCCCCCAGAGCCATCCTTTGAAGGTGAACCCTCAGCAGCTAATGGTATAATACAAGAACCGTCATATCCCTCTCAGCAGCAGTTGGGCAGTTCACAAGAATCAAATCAGCAACCAAGCCATTCCTGGTGCTATGAGGTCACTGAACCTGCATTATGGCAAAGCACGTTCAGATTTTGATGATATACTGATGTAGATGATTTAGCGAGGAGGAAGGCAAGAAAGACACCAATATAGGACAGCGGGGGGAGGGGGGGGCCTCCACAAGACATGAGCCCAGGGGCCTCACGGGACCATGATGCGGCCCTGCACCTCAAGTGTTCACGAACACGTGTCACGCGTGTTGCAGCACTGTAAGTCGACGTATTAAAAAAAACAAAAATGTGAAGCATTGCCCGCGTGCTTAAAAGTACGCACGAAGCAGCAATTTCTCTCTCATCGATCGAGGCGAAACGCACCCATCCATCACGCGTGGCTATCGCGGCAACCCCCGCGGCATGAAAACGTGACAACATGCTTAAATCAAACGTTCTCCGTTTCGAATTCCACGCGTGGTCGTTTGCGCAAAAGGTAACGAACGACAACAATAAATTCGCAACACGTAAATAACCAAATTGTAATGAAAGTAAATTCTTGTACATACCTCTTCAAGTCGAAAAGCATTCGGCAACACAAAAAGAAAAAGCATTCAACGCGTTGTGAGAGTCACCGATCTTCGCACGCGCGAGGGAGAGGGGAGATGAATCAAAGGGAAAGTGAAAGCCACACAGCGGTTTGGCAAACATTTGATCAGAGGACCGATGATCAAGACTGAACGTCTCCGATGATGAAGAGAAGGAGAATAAGGAGAGGGAGGAGGAGGGTGAGGAGGAGAATGAGGAGGAACATGAGGAGGAGGAGGCTTTTAATTGGTGGACTGAGTGCACCATAAACTAGCAACAGCAATCAATCAGGTATTCGACTTCAGGCCCGCCGGGCAGCCCCGATCCTACAGACGGGGTTATTTTCCTTCTCTCGTCCTCCACCCCCACCAACCCCATCGGCTCAGTCTCCTCCTTCTCTCCACCAATGTCCCCTTACTCGTTTCACCACCGCTTCACTTCACCCCGCCTCTGCTGGGGCTTCTCAAACACTCACCACTTACCACCACCACCCTCCTGCCACTACTCACCTGATGTCACGTGGCCAGACACTCACCACTCACCACCCTGCACGACTCACCTGATGTCACGTGACCAGACACTCACCACTTACCACCCCCCCCCTGGCACTCCTCACCTGATGTCACGTGACCACTCACCACTCACCACCACCACCACTCCACTGCACTCGCCAAAGGCTGTACACCAGGAGGAGGTGAGCGCTTGTCAAACGTCAAAACTTCATTTCAAAAATCCCTCTTCATTCTAGATTTGAAGCTTTCGTGACTGCAAGGATTCATACTCTTAGTTTGTTCGGTAAAGTCACGTAGGTGAAAAATTAAATTAAAATTAATAAAAGTAATAATAGAAATAAAATAATTTAAAAATAACGACGACGGAGACTTGTGTTGCCTCCGAAACGTCGTGATTTTTTTATTATTTTATTTCTATTATTACTTTTATTAATTTTAATTTCATTTTTCACCTACGTGACTTTACCGAAAAAACAATGAGTATAAGCCCCTCTTCAGTCGGGCACAATTTTCTGCATCTGCAATTAGCGAGCGGAGAAGTCGCACTCCGTGTCACGACACCTCGACACACGAGACAGCTCAGCAAACGTTCACCCCGTTAGACTCAATCTCTGATCACCATCGGCCCGATCTTAAAGCATCATCTTTACTTTCGCTCTCTCTCTCTCTGTGTGTGGAGCAATTTGCTGCCGCAGCAATAAAACTGTTTTAAAAGTCAAAGTCTCTGTGTGTGTGTTTAACTTTACGCGGGCGACGTGCTTGATGGCGCGTTGCTTGCACTGCACGTGCCAATTGTGATGTTGTTCCACTCGAAAGCGTCAATAAAATTGGTTTTAAAAAATACAAAAGTAGAAAAAAAGTCTCGCTGTGTTCCTCTTTCTTCTCCGAGTGCTCAATCCACGCTGTGGCTCTCTCTTCTCACCCCCTTCATCGAAACAAACTTCACCCTCCACTCTTTGGTTCTTTCGATAAATGAAACTTAATAAATGAAACTTGAAAACTTGAAACTTCGATAAAGTCGCGTAGAAAGAAAATAAATTAAATAATAATAGAATACGACGTGTTTCTATTATTATGCTTCAAATCGCTTTAAACAATTGTCATTGTAGTGCGTATTTAATGTGGCGCTGTACTCTGATGTTGTAGGAGAAAACATTTATTAAAAAGTATATTTAATTAAGTAGAACGTGTTGTC